TCCTGGGCCGGATGGGTCCCCCTTGGCATGATGCACCTGCCTTGGGGCTCTTCCTGGTTTCTGAGGAGTCCTGCATGGAGCCTCCATGGCCAGAGCCAGTCTACCTTAGAGCGGCAGAGCACAAGGGGGGAGGAAGGTGCTCTCCTCCTGCTTGGGGCGCCTCGGTGCCACTGTGGGCACAGGATCCTGGGCTGGATGGGTCTCCTTTGGCGTGATGCACCTGCCCCAGGGCTCTTCCTGCATGGAGCCTCCAGGGCCAGAGCCAGTCTACCTTAGAATGGCAGAGCACAAGGCAGGGAGGAAGATGCTCTCCTTCTGCTTGGGGGCACAGGGTCCTGGGCCGGATGGGTCTCCTTTGGCGCAATGCCCCTGCCTCAGGGCTCTTCTTGCACGGAGCCTCCCTGGCCAGAGCCAGTCTACCTCAGAGTGGCAGAGCACAAGGTGGGGAGAGGGTGCCCTCTTCCTGCTTGGGGTGCCTGGGTGCTACTGTGGGCGCAGGATCCTGGGCCGGATGGGTCTCCTTTGGCGTGATGCACCTGCCTCAGGGCTCTTCCTGCACGGAGCCTCCAGGGCCAGAGCCAGTCTACCTTAGCGGGCACAAGGCGCTCTCCTCCTGCTTGGGGCGCCTGAGTGCCGGATTGTTAGACATCCCATAGACCAGGGGTCTGCAACCTTTAAGACAAAAAGAGCCACTTGGACCCGTTTCCGAAGAAAAAACAACAACTGGGAGCCGCAAAACCATTGCGACATTTAAAACAAATATATCTCCGGAGCCACGATCTGACAGCGGGCGGGAAGGTGACGTCGGGACGGTGCGTGACTAACGCACGCACTGCCCCCATGCGACGTCACAGCCAGTACAGCGCCCGCCACAGTGGGGAGTGTCGGGGCGCACAATGCGCCTCCTCCCCTCGCTAGTATCCGCCCCGGAGCCGTAGCAAAGATGTAAAAGAGCCACATGCGGCTCCAGAGCCACAGGTTGCAGATCCCTGCCATAGACTGTCCCTGGGACAGGGGAGGCTGCTGATCCCTCATTTTCAAATCTGAAAGTTGACAGCTATGGCAGGATCCTGGGCCGGATGGGTCCCCTTTGGCTCCATGCAGCTGCCTCAGGGCTCTTCCTGGTTTCTAAGGAGTCCTGCATGGAGCCTCCAGGGCCAGAGCCAGTCTACCTTAGAGGGCCAAAGGCGCTCTCCTCCTGCATGGAGCCTCCCACTGCGATCCCGGATTCTTAGACCTCCCCTAGCCTGTCCCCGGGACCGGGGAGGCTGCTGCTCCCTTGTCCGCTCTGGCCCTGCCGGACTGGAGCCCTGGCCCCCGAGGCCGGACACTGCACCCCCTCCAGGCCCCCCCGCCCTGCCTTCTGCCCTGCCCATCCCGGGGGGGGGAGGGGGGCTCCTCTTTCTCCTTCTCGGCTCCCCCCAAAGGAGACCAGCTGGGCGCGCCAGGCTAGGCAAGGGTTAAGAGCAGCTGAGCCCCTTTCCTAGAGAGGACAGGAAGTGACGGAGGCGGGTCTTCCGGAGCCCCTCCCCGGCCCCCCTCTTGTCTCCTCCGGTGAGTCTCCTCTCCCCCTCGGGGTCCCGGGATGCAGGGGGTCCTATTGGGGGGGGGCTCCTGCAGGGAGGGGCAGGCAGGGCTTGGCAAAGGGGGGGCGAGGGGGTTTCTCCAGCTGGGGTCCCCAGACTACAACTCCCCTCATCCCTGAGCCCTGGCCTGTGGGGAAGGCAGGCAGGCAGGCAGGCAGGCAGGCAGACGGATGCACGGACAGGCGTCCCATGGGGGGCTGAGTCTGGGGCAGGAGAGGGAGAAGCCGGGGGAAGACCCTCTGAACCAGAGCTGCCCACCTTCAGATGGGAAAAGAAGGGGGGATCCGCAGCCTCGAAAAGAAGGGATCCACAGCCTCGAAAAGAAGGGATCCGCAGCCTCGAAAAGAAGGGATCCGCAGCCTCGAAAAGAAGGGATCCGCAGCCTCGAAAAGAAGGGATCCGCAGCCTCGAAATGAAGGGATCCGCAGCCTCGAAAAGAAGGGATCCGCAGCCTCGAAAAGAAGGGATCCGCAGCCTCGAAAAGAAGGGATCCGCAGCCTCGAAAAGAAGGGATCCGCAGCCTCGAAAAGAAGGGATCCGCAGCCTCCCCTGTCCTGGGGACAGTCGACGGGAGATCTAACAATCCGGGATGGCAGCGGGAAGCGGCGCTGGAATAAGGGAATTTCCTGCAAAAAGGGGGAGGCTGACAGCTATGGTCTGACCGGGGTCTCCTTCCCGTCAGGAGGGGAGAAGAGGATCCCGAAGGAGAAGGGGATCACGAGGTCGGTGATCTTATTGGGAAAGACCTAAGAGAGTCGGGTCAAGGACGAAAAGCTCCCTTCTCTGGAGGCAAAGAATGAGGCGGCGCCCAAAGCTTTTCACGGAAATGCTTGCCATTACGGTAGCCTTTCTAGGCCTTTCAAACCATGGGTAGGAAAATGTTGCACCCGAGCCGGGACGAAAAGGAGCCAAGCGACACCAAGGGAAAGAGTTTTTATTCTGCCAACCCGGGTGGGCAGAGGAGCAAGTGTGATGAGTCACAAAACAAGCCCAAAGTTCACAGCCATTGCACATAGTTTTTATATCCCCTTCCAGTTCCCTCCCCTTTCCTCCTCCTCCTTCAAGAGTCCTGCCCATGAGTTCCTCTGAGCATGAACAGAAAGCTCCTGTCTTGGGACCATTTTTGGACTTTTCCCAGAAAGGGGGTGAGAGGGTTTCAGTGTGTTCCCGTTGTTTCCTTCTGGTGCTCTGGCCTGCTTCCCGGACAGAAAGCAAGTTGCAAGGTGGTTCTTTAGCCAGGCCAAAGGCCTGAGAAGACAAGGGACTCTGTTCTCTCCCTGGTTGCCATCTTTCCCAGTTCCAGCAAGCGGAATGCTGAGCTAAGGCTTTTTGTCTGAGAGGAAAATGCAGTTTTTAAAATGCTAGAGGCGAGGCTCTTCAGGCCTGGCTGGGGGGGGATTCACAGACAGTTTTAGGGCTTTTTGGGGTAACCCTAACTGTTCCCCTTCATTACTAGGGAAAGGAGCAGCAACGCCGGGAAGCATTTGGCCCCCTCTTTGCCCCCCCTCAACATCTCCCTCAAGTGGAAGAACCGATTTCGAGAGACGCTGTGCCTGTGTTTCGGCCTGTGACATCTTTCCGTTTAGTTGAATAATAACTTAACTTCCACCTGAAAGAATGCCTCTCCTGACCCAACTTTCTCTCACCAACATTTTGTGTTTTTAAAAAAAGCTTTTCTGGTTTGACCAACTCCTGCCTCAGACTGCAAATCACGAGGTTTTCCCTCACACAAGAGCTCCCCCCCCCTCAGCATCCTGTGGCAAAGGGTAGAAATTTGGTGGGTCACCGATAATGAGTGAGTCTGCGACATATGAGTTGGTGCGTAGCGGTGGGCTCTGCTCCAGAGGCTCCTCAGAGATTGGGGTCCCAGTGAACCCCTCATGTCAGCACCTTGAACGGAGCCCCATTGTTGTGGGGACTCAGTGAGGAGGGGTAGAAATGCCATTAATAAAGGGAGCCCAGCCAATCACCTGGGAGCTGCCAGATGGGTCTGGCATGACGTGTTTTCGAGAAACCCCTGCTGGGTCTTAGTGATCACAGCATCCTTTTCTCAGTCCTCACAGACTGACGGTTTAATGATCTCTTCTAGGACCTTCCCTGGTTGCCCGGTATCAATCTCAAGCTCACCGGTCAGTAGTTTTTCCTGTTTTTGAAGATGGGGACAATATTTGCCCCCCTCCAGTCTGCAGGAGCCTCTCCTGTTCTCCAGGAATCCTCAGAGCTCTAGATGAAGGCTCTGAGATTACATCCCCAAGCTCCTTCAGTCCCTTGGATGCAGCTCAGCAGGTCCTGGAGGTCTGAATTCACTTGAAGAAGCCAGGTGTCCAGTTCCTCCCTCTTTTCCGATCCTGGACTGCAGCTCCCTCCTTACATCACTTTCCTTATGCAGCCACACTGTTTTCCTTAGATGCCTCTCACTTTTCTTTCCGGTTGGGACTGCCCGCATTTGGGCCTTCAATATTTCACCTTGAAGAAGCTCCCATTTCTTTCAGTATTTCAGAACATAGGATCTCGCCCAGTATCTCCTTAAGTTTCTTTTAATTGGCCGCCTTAAAGTGAATTCCTGACTACACTCAGCTTGCGTTTCCCTCTGTCTCAGGGGAGGACATGATCACTTCCTCCCAAGTTTCCCAGTACTTCCACTTGGTTGATCAGTTCCCATCTGTTGTTGAGGACTAGGTCCAAGACAGATGATCCCCTTCTTGTTTCTTCCACCTTCTGGGTCATGAAATTGTCAGTGAGGCAATTCTCCATGGTCGCTTTCCTTAGACCAGGGCTAGACGCTTCCTTCTCTTTCCTCTTCCTTTTTTCCTGTTAATGAAGGTTCAGAGTCAGGGCAGTGGTGCAGTAAAGCCCTGGTTCCTAGCAAGACTCAGCCACGCTTGCTCAGGAAACATTTCTCTTCTCCTGACCATGTATCAGTCTGATAACAGACCAATATGTTTGCTTTGTAGGCTTTGCTAGCACCTCTAAATCGGACCATCAGAACTTGGCAGAAAACGAAAGGATTCCTTCCGATCTCTTGGAGGCTTCATGAGAGCCCAGATGGATGAGCAAGACTCAGCTGGCCCTGAAGCAGGAGGAGGCCCTGCCCTCCAAACTGGGAGCAGTGGGGGATTATGGGAAAACTCAGTGCAAAAGATCCCGGGTGAGGAGGACACCCTCTGCTCAGAGGTGCAGAGCCAGCAGTTGACGCAGTTCTGCTCTCAGGAGGCCAAAGGACCCCGAGAGGCTTGCGGCCGACTCCACCACCTTGACTGTCGGTGGCTGAAGCCAGAAAGTCATACGAAAGCTCAGATGCTGGACCTGGTGATCTTGGAGCAGTTCCTGGCTGTCCTTCCGCTGGAGATGGAGAGCTGGGTGAGGGAATGTGGAGCAGAGACCAGTTCCCAGGCTGTATCCCTGGCCGAAGGTTTCCTCCTGAGTCAGGCAGAGGAGAGGAAGCAGGCAGAGCAGCAGGTGAGAGAGACTTTCCTCTGGAAACTCCCAAGGGGCTCCAAGCAAGACAGGGAGCCTTCCAAGATGCTCTCCTAACGGCTCGCCCTCTTTGGAGAAGCAAGGGATGAGATCTGCTCCCCTAAAGTGTTTGCTCCGATCATTCCTTTTCTAATCCTTCTCCCCATTCTCTGTTTTGAACCCTTGTTACTCTTTCAGAGAAAGGATCTCTTTGCGGAAATGGGCCTGGATTCCTGTGAGGCAGAAAAGACTCCGTTGGACGCCAGAGGGAGGCCACTGGGTAAGGAGGAACTCGTCTTTCTTCTCATTCTGTGGATCTTGAAACTAATCTTTGGGGTCTGTTCATCTTTAGGGGGGGAGGCACTTGGGGCCAAGAGCCCAAAGGAGGGCAGATGTATTTTGAAGAACACAAAATTGAAATGGGTACAATGTCAAAATGCACTCAACAAGCAAGACCTTTTCCATGGCACATCTATGGCACTTATCTCTAAGTGCTGAACCTCTAGTTACAAGTAGGTAGCCGTCTTGGTCTGCCGTAGTTGAAACAATATAAAAAAAATCATTCTAGTAGCACCTCATAGACTAATTAAGTTTGTTATTGGTATGAGCTTTCATGTGCATGCACACTTCTTCAGATACACTGAAACAGGTTTCTGAAAGAGACTTCTGTTTCAGTGTGTCTGAAGAAGTGAGAGACGCAGGACCTGATGGCTTCCCTTTGACTTTTGTCTCTCGCAGATGACCGAAGGATGCCCCCCAGACCTCCTCATCCATCTTTTCATGAGAACGGAGGAGAAGCAGCAGCTGTGGAAACAGATCTGGTATGGGGAAAGAGCTTTGTGGGGAAAGAGTCAGAGGAGTGGGGCAGCCAGGGAGCCTCTGGGCCGGAAAGAATTTCTCCTCCTCTTGGCTTCTGTCAAAGGCTCTGTCCTGAATAAAGATGGACAATGCCATTCAAGAAGCTCTATGTGCTGACAGGAATGAACAGCCACCTCACCTCAGCTATCCTTCTTAATTTCTCTGTATTTATCAGTAGCTGCAGTCATATTTCTATATTTATCAAAAAAGGCTTCTAAGCTGTGGTCAGAATTAAGTAGCCCCATCAGCTGCTGGAGACCCCCCCCCCTGTGCCCCCATGAGCTCCATGAAGTTGGCTGTAGGGCACACGGAGAGTTCCATCGCCCCCAAGCATCGCACAGCGGGAGTAGAGAAGGGATCATTCTGTCTATCAAACAGGAATGCTTCCACAGACAGAATAATTTGAAGAACACCATGTGGAGTTCCACCCATGCACACAAATATTTATACCCATTGTCAGATGCTGCTGGTGGTTGCTCGTGAGTAACCAGTCAGGACTCTTTACAGTGCAGATCTACAAAGTTCATGTCTGTCTCAGTCACTTGCAGAATCTGGGAGTGGCCCCTTCCGGCTTCTCCCCCAACATAAGAACTTTGACACCCCAAGCCTCCTCCTCACCTCCTTGCGTTTCACCCCTCTGCGCAAGCTGGGCGACAGAAGTGGCGTGCGTCCCTCCTGGCCAGCCTGGCGAGGTGAGGCGCTGCTCCTCAGGAGTTTCGGAGGCTCTCTGTAGCCCAATGGCCCCCCTGCATCCCTCCCCTGACACCCATCATTAAAATGCACAATAAAAGAAGACAATTAAAATGTTCAAGTAAGTGTCTGTAATTAGAATGTGCAGCAAAGTAACCCCATTGAAACAACACAACAATGAATGGGCAGAAAACAATCAAGCAATGTGTAGTAGAGAATCTTTGTGCTGTCTAAGTGGAGGACCTTTTCCTTTTTCCTTCAGGGTCCTCTGTGTTTTAAAGATGTCGCTGTGTATTTCACAGAGGAGGAGTGGGCGTTGCTGGATCCTGACCAGAGAGCTCTGCATAAGGAAGTCATGGAGGAGAATCGTAGGATTGTGGACTCTCTCAGTAAGGATTCCTGCTGGATCATAATCTTTTCTTCCTCCACAATTGCCTTTTAAAACCATGATCAGGCTGATCTCAGCTGCCCTTGAGAGCCAGTGTGGTGTAGTGGCTAAGAGCGGTAGTCTCATAATCTGGTGAACTGGGTTCGCTTCCCTGCTCCTCCACCTGCAGCTGCTGGGTGACCTTGGGCCAGTCACACTTCTCTGAAGTCTCTCAGCCCCACTCACCTCACAGAGTGTTTGTTGTGGGGGAGGAAGGGAAAGGAGAATGTTAGCCGCTTTGAGACTCCTTAAAGGGAGTGAAAGGCAGGATATCAAATCCAAACTCTTCTTTGTTTCCTGCTTGGCAGGGGGTTGGACTCGATGGCCCTTGTGGTCTCTTCCAACTCTATGATTCTATGATTCTTCTTTTTGAATGTAGACTTCATCATGGGGACAGAAGATGAACCTGCTTCTATCAGGTTTATTAGTTTTTCTTCTGCAACTTATTGGTTTACCAAAGAGAAGACTGAACTTGCAAATGGTGCAGATTACATTGAGCCAAACAAAATCCATCCTGGAAAGTGCCAGGCCTTTTGAATCTCAGGTTTCCATCAATATGTCTCTCTCTTAATGCCAGTCAACAAAGGCATTCATTAACCCTGTAGTAAAACCGCAAATCTAACTCCCTTCTGTTATTTGTCTGTCACAAGTGTTTATTAGCATTGTTTAATAAGTTGGGGCTCCATTTCTTCCTGAGACTCTAATCTTCCCTCATTTTTGCAGGTGGTGATGGATTGGAAGTTATGAACAAGGGAGACCACGACAAATTACACACAGTGGGGAAGTTGTATGAATATTTGGAATTTGGAGAGAGCATCAATCGCAGCTCCGATTCCACTTCCTATGAAATAAATCCCATTGGAAAGAATCACTATCAGTGCTTGGAATGTCAAAAGACTTTTAGTCGGAAGGATAGACTCACTTCCCATCAAAGAATTCATAAAGGAGAGAAACCATATCAGTGCTTGCAATGTGGAAAGAGCTTCAGAAAAAGGACCCATCTCACTCGCCATCAAATAATTCATACAGGGGAGAAACCATATCAGTGCCTCGAATGTGGAAAGAGCTTCAGTGTGAGGGCTCACCTCTTGGCCCATCAAGTAATTCATACAGGAGAGAAACCCTATAAGTGCTTGGAATGCGGAAAGAGCTTCTCTCAGAGAGCTAAGCTCACTTACCATCACAGAATTCATACAGGGGAGAAACCGTATCAGTGCTTGGAATGCGGAAAGAGCTACAATCACATCTCCAAACTTACTTGCCATCAAAGAACTCACAGCGGGGAGAAACCGTATCAGTGTTTGGAATGTGGAAAGAGTTTTACCCATAAGGAAAGTCTCACTTCCCATCAAAGAATTCATACAGGGGAGAAACCCTATCAGTGCTTGGAATGCGGAAAGAGCTTCCATAGGAGCTTCATTCTCACTTCCCATCGAAGAACACATAGCGGGGAGAAACCCCATCAGTGCTTGGAATGTGGGAAAAGCTTCAGTGAGAGGGCTAAGCTGGTAGCCCATCAAAGTATTCATACAGGAGAGAAACCATATCAGTGCTTGGAATGTGGGAAAAGCTTCAGTAGGAGATCTAATCTCACTTCCCATCAAAGAATTCATACAGGGGAGAAACCCTATAAGTGCTTGGAATGTGGAAAGAGCTTCCGGCAGAAAGCTCAGCTCATACCCCATCAAAGAATTCATACAGGGGAGAAACCATATCAGTGCATGGAATGTGGAAAGAACTTCAGACAGAGGGCCCAACTCACTTCCCATCTAAGTATTCATGAGGGGAAGAATCCACATCAATGCTTGGAATGTGGAAAGAGCTTCAATAGGAGGTCTCATCTCACCTGCCATCAAAGAACTCACTGCGGGGAGAAACCATATCAGGGCTTGGAATGTGGAGAGATTCATCTGGAAGGTAAGTCTCCCTTCCCATCAGACAATTCATACAGGAGAGAAACCACATCAATGCTTGGAATGTGGAAAGAGATTCAGTAGGAAAGGAAGTCTCCCTTCCCATCAAAGAATTCATACAGGGGAGAAACCATATCAGTGCTTGGAATGTGGAAAGAGCTTCTTTCAGAGGTCAAACCTCAAGGCCCATCAGAGAATTCATGCAGGGGAGAACCCATACAAATGCGTGGAATGTGGGAATTGCTTTAGTAGGAAGGAACATCTCACTTCCCATCAAACAATTCACCGTGAGGAGAGACCATATCAGTGCTTAGAATGTGGAAAGAGCTTCAAATGGAAGAAACTTCTCACTTTCCATCAAAGAACTCACATCTCTTAATCTCCTCTTTTCTAGGCTAAACATGCCCAACTCCCTCAAACTGTTTTGTGTCCAGTATTTTCCTTTCTCTTCCCCGGCTCCGACCTTCAACAGGAAGGACTGGTGGTGAAGAGAGCACCTGTGGCCCACATCTCTTCAGCTTCCTCCCAGAGTCTCGCAGTCCCATGATATACATTGTCCGTGTTAGTATTATTTGTACCCACATGAATCAGAAGGAAGGAGTAGGGGTCAGTTGGCTTTAAATGACATGGCAACTTCTCTGTCACATTGTGAATCTGCAGACCGTCTGGGACATCCTCTTTTCTCCACACACTACTTCTTCTGCCCCCTCAGTAGGGAGTCACCTATCACCACCACGTCTCCTCCTCTGGGGAGTGGCAGGAATTGTTTGCTATGCTGTACCTTCCAAGACCTCCTTGGAGTATTCTATGGTCTACAAGTGCTGTTCTGGAGTTCTTGTCTGTTGGAGTTGCCTAGTTCATTTCCTTGGAAGATAGCAAGTGGGTTATCAGCATACTCATCCATGATCAGTAGCCGCGGATCTGAAGGAGTTAGGTCAAGAATGAAAAAGGACTCCTCTAATAATACTAATACTAATATTACATGACAATTTATTATTTTTACCCTGCCCCAGCCACTCTGAGCAGCTTCCAACAAAAGAGTAAAAATACATTATGACATCAATCATTAAAAACTTCCCTAAACAGGGAAGTCCATCTCCTCTTGTCTCTTCCACCTCTGGGGGGTGGCCGAAATCATTCTGGGCTCTGCACCTTTCACAGCCACCTTGGTGTATTCTCAGGTCGGCAACTGCTCTCCTAGCTCCTCTGGCCCAGAACTGGTGTCCAAGGTGAGAGCGTGGAAGCCATTCTCCAGCTCCAGTGACAAAGCGTGGTTCGTGACTGTCCTACCTCTGTGTTTCACATTCCTCCAGGGGTTGGTCTTTTGCAGTGGGCGATCTTCCTCCAGCCTGGGGCCACCCCATCTGTGTTGCTGTTGCATGACAGTCAACCCAGCTCTATCCAGAAACTCGGCATGTTGTCCTGTAGCTCAAAGCATGGCTAGGAAGGCCTCAAGTTGCTGTAGCTTCTCTTCCAGCAAGACAACCAGTTTGCACTTGCTGCAGGTATACAACTGTATGTTCTCCGGCAGAAAGACAAGCATGGCACAGGGGTTGCAGGTCACTGCAGCCGCTCCCTCGCCCTGCATGTCTCTTGGTCCTATGCACGCCAGGGGACAATACTCTGGGCCTCCCCCTTAAATGCCCTCGCAAATGCCTATGTTTGGGAGGCCTCTTCGTGAGCTCCCAGAAGCTGCAAGGAGCCAAGTTTGACTGCTGCTGGTTGCTAACTCCTTCCTCTGCTCATTCCTCCCAGGAGCCACACCCTCAGGCCTGCAACCAACCAAGCCTCTAGCACAGTGGTTCCCTATTAGCTAATTAGCCCCCAAAAAGCAACAGATTTTAGATATGCTATAAAAGAATACCGTAAAAATTGTGATATTGCCACAAATTGCCTATCCCCAGACAGTAGGAAAAACCTGTCTCCATTGCTGCACTACAACTGAATCTTTTTAAAAAAGCAATTGTGTCTCTAACTTGCAAGTGTTGAAAAGAAGGTATCACAATGTTGAAAAGAAAGTATCGCTCAGCCCTAACACTAAACTAAATCATCAGATGGTGAGCTATTCTGCTAATCATCATCGCTATTTGCATAGCTATTTTGCCTGTTGGGCTTCCAAGAGGCAATACTTGCCAGGACCAACTGTTTTCACATATAAGGACCTGAGAACAGGCTGGGAAGCCTCCTTCATGCTGCTTCTTATACAAAGGAAAATAGGTCAGACTCCAAACCCTGACCCTGACCCTAACTGGACTTGCTCTTATTCCCTTGGCTCTGTGATTTATTTAAAGGTCTTCCCTCTGCTGGGTATCAGCCAAGTGGTGTAGAAGTAAATCCTTGCCACAATTCACTGGAAAGCTAAATCTGCGACTCCCTTGGAATAATAGGGAGAAGATAGGACTACTCTTGCAATATATGAACAGATTGCTTTTAGACGTAGATTGTGTACGGACAAATAGAATGGTGTTTGGAATGCATTGCTATAAAGCACAGTGACTTGCTCATAGTTTTCTTCTATATTGCAAAGTATCAGTTTCAAGCAGTTTGCTTTGTTCTGTTTTGACCTTTCTCTGACTTTTTACACTTCATTTCTCTTCCCAAAATGTTCAGTAAAACATAAATATTAAAAAGAGAGAAGTTGGGTGGTGTATTTCTTTCTGGTTTTTTACCCCGTGGGGAGATCCATAAAAGAAAAAAATGTCCCCCATTTATTTCTAATTGTGCAAAATTGTCCAAATGTGGGCACGGAAGGCTTTTCTTGCCATTTATTTACATGGAAGCAAAACCTTTTTTTAATTTCTTTCCCTTCTGGGGCTGTTGCTAAAAAAGTGAGTCATCAAAGGTGGTAACAAGAATATGGAGAATATATATATATATATATATACATACACACACACACACACACACACACACACACACACACACAAACACACCGTATATATGGGACGCAGGTGGCGCTGTGGGTTAAACCACAGAGCCTAGGACTTGCTAGGACTTAGAGAGCCAGTGTGGTGTAGTGGTTAAGAGCAGTGGACTCTTAATCTGGGGAACCGGGTTCGCGTCTCCGCTCCTCCACATGCAGCTGCTGGGTGACCTTGGGCTAGTCACACTTCTCTGAAGTCTGTCAGCCCCACTCACCTCACAGAGTGTTTGTTGTGGGGGAGGAAGGGAAAGGAGAATGTGAGCCGCTTTGAGACTCCTTAAAGGGAGTGAAAGGCGGGATATCAAATCCAAACTCTTCTTCTTCTTCTGCCAATGAGAAGGTCGGCGGTTCGAATCCCCGCGACGGGATGAGCTCCCATTGCTCGGCCCTGGCTCCTGCCAACCTAGCAGTTCAAAAGCATGTCAAAGTGCAAGTAGATAAATAGCTACCACTCCGGCGGGAAGGTAAAAGGCGTTTCCGTGCGCTGCTCTGGTTTGCCAGAAGCGGCTTAGTCCTGCTGGCCACATGACCCGGAAGCTGTACGCCGGCTCCCTCAGCCAGGAAAGTGAGATGAGAGCTGCAACCCCAGAGTCGGCCACGACTGGACCTAATGGTCAGTGGTCCCTATATATATATATATATATATATATATATATTCCAAAGTAAAACATTAATCCAGAGAGGAATAGAATGGAAACGGAATTAAAAGAGAGAAAGTAAGAGAGAGGAGAAAGAGTAAGAGACGGAGAGAGAGACTTTAGAAGGTAAGGATATCAGGATATATTTGTGGTGCTGCTGTGGTCACTTAACAAGCCAGGCTCCCTGGGGTGAGCATACCACAGACAGGGAGCCACCACAGAAAAGGCTGGTTCTCATCTTGTCACCCTCTGAACCAGTGGCGTAGCGTGGGTTGTCAGCACCCGGGGCAAGGCAAGTAATTTGCGCCCCCTAGAGTGAGTGAGCCAGGTAGGGGCAGAGAGCTGTGAGTGTGAGCGCGCCCCCCCAGATGTTGCGCCCGGTGCGGCTGGCCCCCTCTGCAACCACCACGCTACTCTCGGGGAGAGGGGACATAGAGAAGGGCCTTGGGTGATCCTAGTGTTGGGAAATGAAATTGTCAGGGAGGCAGATTCTGAGTTCCAACAGATGCTGGGGAAATCGAAGCCTCCCAGGACTACTATCTCTCTCCTTTGAGGAGAGTTCATCTTCTCTTGGAAGGCATCACCCAAGCCTTCAGTCTGGCTTGATGCTCTATGACAGACGCCCACTGTGGTTTCTCTCTCAACCATTTTTGCCCACATACTCTTAATCTGATTTTCAGGCTCCAGGTCATGGATTTCTTCACAAGTGTGCACATCCTTTATATATAATGCTACTCCTCCTCCCTTCCTGTTTGGTCTGTTCCTTTTGAACAGGTTATACACCTCAATTCCCACATTCCAGTCATGAGTCTCATCCCACCAGGTCCCAGTCATGCCTATAACAGGAGTCAGCAACCTTTTTCAGCCATGGGCTGCTTCACCGTCCCTCAAACCATGTGGGGGGGACGGACTATATTTTGGAAACAAGAAAAAAGACCAAATTCCCATGCCCCACAACCGAGAGATGCATTTTAAATAAAAGGACACATTATACTCATGTAAAAACACACTGATTCCTGGACCATCCACAGGCCGGATTGAGAAGGCGATTGGGCCGCATCCGGCCCCCGGGCTTTAGGTTGCCTACCCCTGGCCTATGTGGTCAAATCTGCCATCCTGTCTTAAGAGCTCTGCTTCTTTCCCATCCTCTGGGACAGGCATGTGTACATGCAAACCTGGCAGACTTTCATCTTGGTATTGGCAGTTAGCATCAGATTCTCCCAGACTCTCTTGGATCACTCCCTATTGAATTTTACATGGAAATTCGGGATAATCCTGTATTCTACAAAACAGGAGTCCCAAGCAGGCGGCATCTTCCGGGCCGGGAGCCGCCCTCGCTTTGCCTCCTGCCCTTGTTAACGGAGAAATCTGAGGGCTCCCTTGGATAAAAAACAAGGACCCCAGCCCGGAATACCAGAGCAAAAGAGCAGCCAGCAGGCTTGGTCTTGATTGAAGACTGTTGCCACAGGACTCCCACCTGCCACCAGGAGGAACAAGATGGAAGCCCCGAACAACAGAGCCCCCAATCTTTTATTAGCTGCTAATCTCCATGTTACACCCCCCCAACTACATCATGAAAGGGGAGGTCTGGTGGCAGTAATCTGAGCATCCTGGACCCTGCCCCATGGTTCCTCTTGCCCTCCACCAAACACCCATCAAGTGTAACAAAAAAAAGATATTTCTATTTCCCTGTTTCCCAGCCAAGTTCATCCCACCCATATGTCAGGAGTGCTCTGATGGTGTTTCCTGCTTGGCAGGGGGTTGGACTCGATGGCCCTTGTGGTCTCTTCCAACTCTATGATTCTATGATTCTATGATTCACCCTTTTGTCTTCATCTGGGTTTGTTCTTTCTGGAATGGCTAACTGTCTGGCACTCAGGTCTCAGGATGCCAGGTATTGTGGTATCGTGGTATCGTGCAGCAGAGTCCCATTGAAGAGACAGGAAGAAACTGCGACAAAGTGTTTTGTGGGGACAAGTCACAAAAGTCACAAAAGTGATTGTGCTGGTTTTGGTAGTGGGCTGCATGTGCATGAGATCTGCTGGAGGGGCAAACCCCCCCCAACCTGTACCTAAATTCCTGCAACACCCTGCACATCCCGGGGGGGGCAGGGGGCTCCTCTTTCCCCCTCTCGGCTCCTGGCTGGGCTCCTTTTCCTCCTCAGGCCCCCAGGCTCCCCCCAAACGAGGGAACAGCTGGGCGCGCCATTGTGGGCACAGGATCCTGGGCCGGATGGGCCTCCTTTGGCACCTGCCTCAGAGCTCTTCTTGCACGGAGCCTCCAGGGCCAGAGCCAGTCTACCTTAGCGGGCACAAGGCGCTCTCCTCCTGGGTGCCACTGTGGGCACAGGATCCTGGGCCGGATGTGTCCCCCTTGGCACGATGCAGCTGCCCCAGGGCTCTTCCTGGTTTCTGAGGAGTCCTGCATGGAGCCTCCATGGCCAGAGCCAGTCTACCTTAGAGCGGCAGAGCACAAGGGGGGAGGAAGGCGCTCTCCTCCTGCTTGGGGCGCCTGGGTGCCACTGTGGGCACAGGATCCTGGGCCGGATGTGTCCCCTTTGGTGCGATGCCCCTGCCTCAGAGCTCTTCCTGCATGGAGCCTCCAGGGCCAGAGCCAGTCTATCTTAGAGGGCAAAAGGCGCTCTCCTCCAGCTTGGGGCGCCTGGGTGCCGGATTCTTAGACCTCCCCTAGACTGTCCCCGGGACCGGGGAGGCTGCTGCTCCCTCATTTTCAAATCTGAAAGTGGACAGCTATGGCAGGATCCTGGGCCGGATGGGTCCCCCTTGGCATGATGCACCTGCCTTGGGGCTCTTCCTGGTTTCTGAGGAGTCCTGCATGGAGCCTCCATGGCCAGAGCCAGTCTACCTTAGAGCGGCAGAGCACAAGGGGGGAGGAAGGTGCTCTCCTCCTGCTTGGGGCGCCTCGGTGCCACTGTGGGCACAGGATCCTGGGCTGGATGGGTCTCCTTTGGCGTGATGCACCTGCCCCAGGGCTCTTCCTGCATGGAGCCTCCAGGGCCAGAGCCAGTCTACCTTAGAATGGCAGAGCACAAGGCAGGGAGGAAGATGCTCTCCTTCTGCTTGGGGGCACAGGGTCCTGGGCCGGATGGGTCTCCTTTGGCGCAATGCCCCTGCCTCAGGGCTCTTCTTGCACGGAGCCTCCCTGGCCAGAGCCAGTCTACCTCAGAGTGGCAGAGCACAAGGTGGGGAGAGGGTGCCCTCTTCCTGCTTGGGGTGCCTGGGTGCTACTGTGGGCGCAGGATCCTGGGCCGGATGGGTCTCCTTTGGCGTGATGCACCTGCCTCAGGGCTCTTCCTGCACGGAGCCTCCAGGGCCAGAGCCAGTCTACCTTAGCGGGCACAAGGCGCTCTCCTCCTGCTTGGGGCG